AATGGCCAGGCGCACCGGTTTGCGGTTTCAGCCGCGCCGTTGAAATTGAAGCAGTTCCGTCTGGAGTACTGCCCAATATCGTCAATTGCCTGTGACTGGGTTCGGATGATTTCTTGTTGCTCACTCACTTGGTTCTTGAGCTCCTTTACTTCTTTATCGCGAGATTCGAACTCCTCGAATATATCTCGCAGAGTGTTGCGCACTTCATTGTGGTTGAAGCAGGCAAGAAGGGCTCGCTTCAGTGACTCCTCATTCAGAGCACTCATTTTCTCATCTCACTGCCCTTATCCTTCGTTCCTCCCTACGTCACCCTTAACCAAATGTCACTCGCCTGTCACTCGTGCGACCCGCTACTTCTCACGAGCGGTCACACTTAAGGCTTCGAAACGGACTGGCACTCGGCCTGACACGGCTGTTTAGGGCCCGGTCGGCGAGGGTCGCGAGGGTCGCGAGCTCTGACCTGGGCGGCGGCCAAGGACGAACTTAGGCGACGAACAAACGAACAAAGGTCGACGCCGGCCAAGGAGTTCGGCCGATGGAGGCGGGGCCGGAGGGCCCGCTTCCGCCGTCACTGGCGGAGGAAGACCAAGCTGACCAAGTACTTCAAGTTTCAGGTGATGGTTCATATAATTATTGCCTCTTCCAACTGCCGGTCCTCTGGCCCCTCGAACAGGCAGTCTCTGCAGCCAAGTAAGGCCGCACAGGCCGGCAGTTGCGCATCAAGTATCAAGATTTGCATCAAGTATTGATATTTCAAGACTTGATACTTAGTATCAAGTCAGGTATCAAATATCAATACTTGCATCAAGTATTGACACTATAGGACTTGATACTTAGTATCAATTCCTGTACCAAGTATCAAACTTGACTTCTGGTACGTATTAAGGAATGAATGCAAACGAGAGCTATAGGTGGGAATGAGTGCTCGACAGACTGCGACTAACTCCAGGCTCAAGTTCTCGCTCTGCCTGAGACCGCTCCTGGCTCGCCGGATGATCCGTCCTTGGTGTCAGAGGCGCGCTGAGACAGCTGCTCAGGCGGGAGGTGGTGCTCGAACGGGCATAAAATGTATGCGGCTGTTTTTTATTTTACAAAAATTTAAAAAACATGTGTGATATTTAAGAAGCGAAATGGAAAACAGGTACCGTTTCCAGAAATGTTGCAGTCTAAAGCATTCACTGTCAAGAGTCTGGAACACAGCCGCAGGTTCGAGGTGAAAGCCGCGTATATGCATCTTCATGGAAGGGGACGAACCATCCATTTTCAAGGCACATTCTTTCCATGCATCGCCATGAGGTTAATACTGAAGTTAAACAAATGCGTCGGCTCTGGCCCACCCAACCCCTCCCCTGTTCGCGTGCTCAGCTCTCACGCGTGGAGGGAGCGTTGCACCCTGTTTTGCGATGGCCGCTGAGCGATAACATGTCCTCTGCGCTCGCTGGTGTCCCATAAAGACGTGTGTGGCGATGTGCGTCGCATTCTCTTCTATGAAAAAGGCGGTAGGAAGGCAGACTGAAGAGTTCCAGGGTTGGGACGAGACTTGATACGGGGAGGGATGCGACACGATAGACGATGGAAGACGGCGATACCCTTGATTGAGACGATTCAGGAGAGTTTCATCCACCAAAAAGCCGTGCCGACTGAACTATGCGGAGGACTTGAAAGCGTGGGGCAAAGATGGCATAACCTAAATCTCCGAAGAGGTTTGCTAGCGTATCGTCTCATTTCAGGTAGTCGTCCAACTCGGCGAAAATTGCGTCGTTTGGCACTAGTTGTACTCTCCGAAATGAAGCGCCTGGAACCGCCCCTGCTCGGGCCAATAGGCCCCTCCTCGCGGGCTGACCGGGCGGACAGGCCCCTCCTCGCCGGCGACATGCACCCGTTTACAAAGCATATACAACCTTCGAGCCGCCCCGTCTGCCTGCGCTTATCCCGTCACTCTGCGCTCGGTCACTGCCGCGTGACGGGCCGTGTCGGATTGAGCTCTGCGCGTGCTGCTTTAGGGTTATCGTGACGCTGACCAGCCGGTGACGTTCCAGCACGCTTCATGTCGAACCCAGAACCTCACGTCACAGACGTCAAAGGTGAGGAGCTTTCGGCGCACGTTAACGCACGCTGGCAATGTAATCGACATCCGTGCTGGCTTATATTTTATCTGCGTCTCAAATCGGATGAGTTGTGACCTAGTGACAGCCATTGTCACTTATAGGTCAATGAACCCGTCGTCATTGGGGCTGTGCAACGCACTCAGCGGTTAAAGGCATGTGCTGTTCAGTATCTCTCACCCTGGCGGAAAGATCGTGCTTCGTCGGAATCAAATCTCATAGTTTCTGGACGCGCGGCCTAACCACTGCGCTACTGGACCCTCGTGACGCACATCGTGGCATTGTCTGACACGGTCGCTGGGTGGCGATGTACTGAGAGCGGCTAGGCCAGCGAGCCGGCTTCCCTCAGTGACCCTCATAAATGGATAAAACACGATATTCTGTTCAAAAAAGTGAAAATAGTAAGAAAGGAACAGTTGGATATTAAAAGAGCATCCCACTTTTTGTACTTTCCACCTATTGTTAGATCGGACGCATGCGATTTGATCAATGATACCAGCATTCTCGAAATCCTTCTAAGTTCAGCATTTCTATTTGAAGTAGGAGGAGCTCCTCGTGGTGGTGGAACTCCACTCCTGCTGGAGAAATTTCATTTGACCACCTGCTCACCACTGCAAAAATAATGCATTTAATTTTCCCTCCTTTTTCTAACGTGCGTACTCTGTAATGTTTGTAACACACTGATTGCCAAAATGGTGGGATTCCCGCAAATCAACGAAACGCGACAGTGGGGTTTGATTTCTTCCCTATGGCGCTCACCGCGGTGGGTGCTTTCGAGGCGCTCTCCGGCATCGCGAGTGGTCCATATTGACGCACTGGTTTAAACGTCAACCAGTGCGGTTCTAGGTGACAGGCTCTTGCCGCCTGTTGGGCCAATCACGAATGTTCTTTTATACGCACCAGTGGAGGTACGCACGCGGTTCGTGAGGTAACGATCGTAGCGTGTCATGACGGTTATGTACTTCGGGCTCGAAATTAAGCAAAATTGATACCTCTATTATGTCCTGACGGTGCTGTTATTGCACCACCCAGTGCTATTATTGGATGTAACTGGTCCTGAGGCTTCACTAGAATATATTTTGAAGTATGCCCAGAAGGTGGGACAATCCCTTTGATAGAAACGTCTCCAGGTGTAAGCAGACGTCGACGTCGCAGTCTAATGTCATGTTAGGTCACGTAACTCAACCACCCCGGGTGATCGGCACATTTTTGTGGTGTTAGATTATTACCAAGTGTGTTATAACCGAGTGGTGAAAGTTTTTGGTCGTCGGTTAAGCAATTTAAGAGGAATGATTCACATTGAAGATGTAGGGGGCAAGCATCAGATATGACCAAAAGAGCTTATTTATAAGTATTGGTTTGCTATGGCATTTCTTGGGCTCACGCAACTGACATTGCCAAGAGAGGCCCCTGCTACCATAATTCCATCCAAACGCTACGTTAAGAAATGTCACTGTTATTTCCTTAGCAGTGACATTTCTGAAACATGTGACACATAATATGTGCCTTTATTATCTTTGAAATGTAAAACACTGTTACTGGGCTTTTGAACGAGTTGCAGTGTACTGTCTGTCCTTCTCATGACTGGTCTGACGTGACGTGACTTATTTCCGAGCTGTAACATTGGACGCTGGCGGTTTTACATTATCACTGGAATCGTGACGCAGTAATGATTTTGTAGAGCATGGCATGAGTCACAAGGAGTGAAGCTATGGTAATGTGGCGTTTTGCGGGCCGTATTGCGACATACGCCTCTAAGCTCCTGTTCTTCTAGATGGGAATAAAACAGTATTCACACAGGGTGTGGAGCGAGAATGCTGTCTTCTAGATGACGATAAAACACATTTCATGCATTGCATGCTACTAAAGGCTGAATTTTTGGACTTACCGTGCAATGACGAACCGAATGATATCTAAGGAAACGCAGTTTTGTTCATAACATGCTTTTCACCCCTGGTGACGTTGGAAGTTGAAGTTAGAAGTGAGAAGTTATGTATATATTATATATTATATATATATATATATATATATATATATAGATGATAGATAGATAGATAGATAGATAGATAGATAGATTGTGTGTGCGTGTGTGCGTGCGCGCGTGAATGCGTGAATGCGTGTGTGTGTGTGTGTGTGTGTGTGTGGTGTGTGTTGGTGTGTGTGGTGGGTGTGTGGTGTGTGTGTGTGTGTGTGTGTGTGTGTGTGTGTGTGTGTGTGTGTGGTGTGTGTGTGTGTGTGTGTGTGTGTGTGGTGTGCTGTGCGTGTGCGTGTGCGTGTGCGTGTGCGTGTGCGTGTGTGTGCGTGTGCGTGTGCGTGTGTGTGTGGTGTGTGTGTGTGTGCGCGCGCGCGCGCGCGCGACGCTTATATGTATGCGTTGTGTGTGTATCAGAGGGCGCAAGCGCGCCGTCGTCGGTGCGTTTCGTCGTCGTGGATACGGACCTGGGCGTCGACGACGCTCAAGCTATCGGCATGCTGCTGTCGGCCGAGCGGCGTGGCGAGCTGCGCGTACTGGGAATCACCACCGTGGCCGGCAACACCAGCGTCAAGAACGCCACGCGCAATACACGCCGCCTGCTCGCCACATACGGCCGTCTGGACGTGAGTAGTTCGGGCAGAGACGACAGCAGGGGTTGTCGATGAGCAGGTGGTGCAACGCAGGAGGACGACACCAGAGGCTGTCGATGGGCAGGTGCATGTACATCATGTGTACAGAGCAGGGGGACGACACCAGGGGCAGGCGTGAGTAGGTGTGTACAAGAGCAGGGGACAACACAGGGGTGGGCGGTAGTAGTGTGTACAGAGCAGGGGGGGACACCAGAGGCAGGCGATGAGTAGGTATGTACAGAGCAGGGGGACGACCGAGGGTTGGCGGTGGATAGGTGTGTACAGAGCAGGGAGGCGACATCAGGGGCAGGCGATGAGTAGGTGTGTACAGAGCAGGGGGACGACACCAGGGGTGGGCGGGTGAGTAGGTGTATACAGAAGCAGGGGCACAACACCAGGGGTGGGCGATGAGTAGGTATGTACAGAGCAGGGGACGACACGAGGGGTGGGCGGTGAGTAAGGTGTGTACAGCGCAGGGGGCGACACCAGGGGCAGGGCGGGTGAGTAGGTGTGTACAGAGCAGGGGGACGACACCAGGGGCGGGCGGCGGTGAGTAGGTGTGTACAGAAGCAGGGGGGGCGACACCAGGGGCAGGCGGTGAGTTGGTATGTACAGAGCAGGGGGACAGCACCAGGGGCAGGCGGTGAGTAGGTGTGTACAGAGCAGGGGGACGACACCAGGGGCGGGCGGTGAGTAGGTGTGTACAACGCAGGAGGGTAGGTATGGTGAACGCAGTAGGTGTGTGAGCGCAGGAAGACGACACCAGGGGCAGGCCGGTGAGTAGGTGTGTACAGAGCAGGGGGGCGACACCAGGGACAGGTGGGTGAGTTGGTATGTACAGAGCAGGGGGACAGCACCAGGGGCAGGTGGTGAGTAGGTGTGTACGGAGCAGGGGGGACGACACCAGGGGCGGTGCGGTGAGTAGGTGTGATACAACGCAAGAGGGTAGGTGTGTGAACGCAGTAGGTGTGTGAGCGCAGGAAGACGACACCAGAGGCAGGCGGTGAGTGGGTGTGTATAGCGCAGGAGGGTGACACCAGGGGCAGGCGGTGAGTAGGTGTGTACAGCTGAAGCTGATGATGGTGTGCAGCGCCATACTCTCAAAGACGGCTCTTAGCGAACGGCAATGAAGTTAGCAAAAATGAAATACCTTAAATGAATCGCATAGCCTCGCAAAGTGTTTGTAACAAGTTGTTCACATATAAAGCAGTCTTTGTGGCTTGCACTAATGATCTCGCGTCAACAGATGCTTGTTGGCGTCCTCTAAATTTACTGTCGATTAGACGGTGTCTTTCACCTTGTCAACTGGTTCTATGGACACACGATCGGAACTGAGGTTATCCTGGTTTTCTGGTCCGCGTGTAAGCTGGGGCCTCGAATGCCGCGGCTGCTTGACACATCCTGGCGTACGTTGACACCCCCGATGCATCCTGCCTTACTGATCCCTCGTTTGCAGGCGCGTTTGCACGTCCGTTTGGCTCGTTTGTTTCGCATGCCATGATGCATGTGCACTGTAGAGCGTTTGTGCAAATATGCTGCATACGCTGTTGCTCAGGTGCCTATTGTCTCGCAATGCTGGTACTCAGGCGTGGTTGTCTCACAATGTTTGTGCTCAGGTGCCTACTGTCTCGCAATGTTGGTGCTCATGGTCCCATTGTCCTGTGGGTCCTTGTGGCACGCTGGTGCTTAGGCGCCTGTTGTCTCGTGGGGTCCTTGTGTATATGGTGCTCATGGTCCCATTGTCCTGTGGATCCTTGTCTATGTGGCTGCTCATGTGCCTGTTGTCCCGTGATCCCTGTGTATACTGGTGCTCAAGGCCTCATTGTCCTGTGGGTCTTTGTGTATGCTGGTGCTCTAGGTCCCATTGCCTTGTGGGTCCCTGTGAATGCTAATGCTCAGGTGCCTGCTGCCCTGCAGGTGCCTGTGTATGCTGGCGCTCACTGCTTCCTGCTGAGTGAACAGATGACCCCCTTACCAATACCACGGGGAGAACGGGCTCGGTAACGCCGCTTCGAGGAGCCGCTGCCCGCAGTCAAACAGCGGCCGGAGCATGCCGTGACGGCACTCTCTCGCCTCGCCAGCGAGCACAAAGGTCAGACTTGGTCAGGTGACGTCAATACGCTGACGTCGGAGGGTGCCAGGCGTACGCAAGTCAGGGTGGGGCGTCGCGCTTAGGTACGGGTCACACGGTCCCTTACGCTGACAGGAATGTGGATATATCGCGCCGCCTGTGCGCTGGTGACGCACGGTTGGAGAGATTCACTGGAACCTGCGCTCCTCCCGGCCTACGTGCACTTGGCTTTTCCTGCCCAGTGATCTGTCGTTGCCTGCTGACGGTATGCTCTCGAAGATAGGGTCCAGACTAAACAGCGGGACCCGTGCGACATGGACTGTAAGCTTTCAAGTGCGCAATATGATGGGCTAAATAAATAGGCTTCAAGGCGACTATAGGCTGCTCTTCTACTCCAACAATAGCAAGAATATTGCTCAGGAAGACAAAACTGACAATGATAGAACGAGCCTCACATCTTTGGATCAGAGTTTGACAATGGAAGGCACTCCATGCCGTAAGTTGTGACAAACACTTTCATATTTTTGCCATATTTTCGTCGTGATCCCAATGATGTTCAGACATATAGGTACACTAGTTGGAATTTTTAGCTGCAACAGTTGGAATTCTTTGTTCTGGTAGTAATTGACCTTGGGTATGCTGGATGGTACTTGTTAAACAACATTGTGAAGCAAGCGTTGCCTTTATTGACAAAACTCGCCTTTGCAAGTCATGCTTTATAGCGATAGAGAACAGTAGGAGAGAGCGAGAAGGAGAGTGAGAGTGAGAGAGGAGAGGAGGAGAGAGAGAAAGAGAAAAAGAGATCCCTCTGGCTCCAACTTTGGAATAGGATGTGCTTTGTCTCCTTCTTCCAACTTGCGACGGGGGTCTGGGTAACTTAAATGACCAGGTGTGTTTGTACTCCAATCTTCTGTCTGTGTGACATGAGCACTGACCGTTTATGTGCGGACGGGTTTGGTCCGCGTCACACAGCTATTTGGTTAAGGACCTCAGCCGGTTATAACTCATTAAGACGCCACCACACTTGGACCCCACCAAGACTATTTCCGGTCACATCGTCACCTAACTTGGCGTCATAATGGCGTCATGGCGTCACCAATATGCCTAACTTGGCGTCATCTGTCCATGTGTTGTCTGAAGCCACTGCATATTACCTGATCATCGTTGTTTGTGGACCATTCCGTCGATCTCTCGCTGTCGAGAGACGCCTTTCGCCGCACGTCCATGGCGCAAGGTCAGCTGGGACGCACTCTGTCTCCATCTTCTGCAGGCCGACTGGGGCTCGGTATACCGGGAGGCGAAAATGGATCGGAAAGTGACAAAAATCATGCACGTGTGGTGGAGTGCGGTCGACGTGCAGCGTCCCTTAAGAGCTATAACCCTCGTCGTCGTTTGCAGTGGTCAATAACATAAACATTTCTGTCCTGCCGAAACCAACAACCCGGGCCGAAACCCAACTCCCGGTCTACCGGCGTCTTTGAAGCCGCGGCAAGGCCCCTTTGCGACGTCGAAGCTTGATATATTTCCGATACCCTGCTCACAGGCCATGCCGGTTTCTTGTGAAGCAGTGACAACTTCGCTTTCCAGCCCACGAAGGGAGGAGTGGCGCCGAGGTGGACCTGTCCATAGCATGGTATTTGGTTTTCGTCAGCCCATGTATCGCTGCCGAAATGGCAGCGAAACCCTTGGCCCTGCCACCTGGAGTGCCATGACTGCTGCCAGTCTAAGGCAGCATCACACTACTTTGCTTAAATTTTCGATTGCTACGGGTGGGCTGTCATCATCCAGGGTGAAAGGACGAAGCGGTGTGCCGCTGTATACGTTACTTAAATGTCTCCTTGTTCTAAGAAGCCACTTGCTCTATGCCATCAACATATCTGATGTCTCTTGTGTTTTTCCTGCCTTCTGGAATGTGGCCTCTGTCCTTCCTCATCACAACTCCGGTTCTCATGGTATCGCTAGTAATGTCAGGTACCACATTACATTTACCACACTACTAAGCTGTGGCGGTGAGTGCGTGTGTGTGGGTGGGGGGGGGGGGGGGGGGTTCGTGGAGTCGGCGTTGGTCCCACCGTCGCCGTCACCTTAATTGATCTGAGTCGTGTCTTCGATAGTGTCGACCAAGGCGTTCGTCTGGAAGCATTGGTATGACATCGATCCTAGGTGCTTCAAACAACCTGTCTTGCCGTTTGGCGGTAGGTGGTAAGAGGCGGTTGTCTCTTCCTTCTCCTGACTCACGGCACTCCTCCGATATCCCTAATCGGTCTTATCCCTCCCAGGACCACCGCGCTTGACATGCCAGCCTGCATCCGTCGCGGACGTCTGACATTCCACGCCGACGGTATCTAACTGCTGGACTGCTCTCATCCCGACCAATTATTTGATCATTATCACCAGCTTTCTTGTCGCATCATCACCTTTAGAAATCCCGGCACGAGGAAACCATCCCAGTGATCCTACTTCACATCCAACTGCCCAACATGAATTCCACTAAAGCAATGTCTCTCCTTTTCGGTACTCTACAGTCCCTAAACACCCTTATCATTTAAGCTTACCGTTGCTGGACAAAAAACAGCCCGCTCTCCGTCTGTGAAGATGCTGGGGGCGGCCATTAGCTCTACTATTTCCTAGGAGAAGAACGTACTGAATGCTGTCAAGAAGTGCTGTTCTCTGTATGAGATACGTCACCACCTCACGCCCCAAATCCGTAAGCTTATCCAGTCCCACGCCCCTCCCATGTGCTGTACTGCCTCCCGGTCTGTGGCGTGGCTGCGGTGTGTTACGTAAACAGAGCGCGAGGGGGCGTGAGTCATGACCAGGATCATCACTGGCGCTCGTCAGGGAGACTCCATGGCACCGTCGACTGGCAACGTCCTGGATTGCCGTGGCGTAAATGAGTGATCTAGGCACCCACTGTGCCAACCTTGCTGTGTGCAGGCCCCTTGAAGACTCGCGGGCTTCGTTGGCGGTCCGACCCATGTTCACCCCACGTACCGCTGTTTGCCAGCATGCCACCCGGACGGCAGCGGCGAGCGTCCTTAATGTCCGCTATCCGATTGTCGGTGGCACGCAGGACCTCCTAGTGTCGCGGAACCGCCTGCCCCCGACCACCACCGCCAATCGAGTCCGTAGGGAAATAGAAAAAAGATAAGTGTTTGTCTATGTGTCATGACATGTTTCGACGATTCGTTTTCACATTTTTGTAAGTTTTAGAGCTGGAAGGTGGTCACCTTTTTGACGCTGTACTACTCCACTATCAATTAAGTAGTGGGTAGTATTGAGTATATTATGAGTATTCATCTATACCTGTATCTATCATATGTATATGTATACATTTATATATATATATATATATATATATATATATATATATAATATATGTGTTCAGTCCAGCGGCCCTTTCGGAAAAACCTCCCCGAGGAGCATCCTGGATCCGCGCCTGGCGCCAACAATAACGCGGCGCGCCGGCGCAGGTCAGCTGGCGGCCGGCAGGTGGCAGCACGTCGGCTCCCTCCGGTGGCCGCGGCGGCCTGACCAACAGGCGCGGAGTGAGGGCCGCATGACAGGGCCGCCCTCTGGCGCACGCAGCTGTTGTCAGGGCCGCCCTCTGGCGCACGCAGCTGTTGTCAGGGCCGTGGGCTTGTCGCGCGCAGCTGTTGCCAGGGCCGTGGGCTTGTCGCGCGCAGCGGGCGGCAGTCCTCCCCTGACCACGGTCAGCGGTGGTCCCTGCGCAGGAAGCCGCTGCAGATGCTGCCAGATTTTCAGAGACCCTCGCACAAAAGCAGTGCAGCTCATAAGATAAACTTTGAAATTCATACGCGTTGTCTAACCCGATACGAATTTGTTGTTTCTGCTCTTGATCTATAGAGGTTGGTCTCAAAATGGAGTGGAAGTTGAACAGGCTCGTTCTGAGCACCAGCATAGAAATAAGAGCAAAACAATTGCCGGAAATTGCAACACTGGACGAGCAAAGGTTACCTTTGCGCTATGGTGTGCACTCAGACGACACAATGATCGCTGGAGCTGACTTCTACTAGCAAGTACAGGCCGTCCTGATATACTTAGGGTTGTACACAATATCAGCTTCAAGCGTCTGTTGGTTTGTATATGTCTTGTGTTTCATCTCCTCCTATCATTTTATTCCATCTCCTATATCTCCTCATAATTCTAATGTTTCACCAGTGCGTCAAATCTCGTTTCCAGGGGAGCTGACGGTCGTGGCACTGGGACCACTAACAAATATCGCCTTGGCTGCACGCATGGACCAGGAATTCATGACGAATATCAATGATAATCTACCTTATGGGTGGAAACTACACAGGTCAGACATATGCGTGTCTTCATTTATGATGTGATCCAACGTGTATGCATGAACTGTCACTGACTTTCTGCGCATTATGCGCTTGCACTGTCCCACCATCAGTGGCATTTATATGTGCCTTTACGATTTCACTGGGTAGCCAAAACGTTTTGGCTCTGCCTGGAGCTCGCTGTTTCGTCACCTTTGACGGCAGAAGAGGAGGATGGGAGGAGGGCCGGGACGGGCGGCGAGTCCTTTTGCTAAACTTGTGCCCGGCATACCAGAGCGAAACAAAACAAAAAAACAAGAAGCAGAACGACACAAAACAAAATTGAACAAAATAACACGGTTATGTGCGAAGCAGAAATCAGATGACGCATTCAGGTTCGACCATCTAAAATTTTGTCCAGCCGCCGGTTTACTTTTGTGACATGAATATTACATTGAATGTGAGTGAGTAAAGAGAATGCCTCACATTTAAGCATATTAACGCAAGTATGACACATGATGAAATAAACTCACTTAGAACTACTGGTAAACTTTGAAATGGAAAACACTGTTAGACGGCACGATGACTCTATTCAGTAAATGTGCTCCTCAATACGCCATTGTTGGATGACATCACGAAAAATTAGCGTGACGTTGAGGTGTTACCAGACTAGCCGTACCAAAACTGCCACCATAACACTCACGTGTGGTAGTTCAGTCTCCCGAGAGGTGGGCCGTGGCGGTGCTGGAAGTGTTTGCTAACCCAATATCCCCATGTGCTCGGGTGAACACCCTTTCTCGTGGTGTTCTTGCATATTTGTCCGTCAGTTTAATGCGTTTAATTGCATTCACATACTCAGTTATGACGCTTTTATTAAGTACTTTATAACAAGTCTCTTTTCCGTAATAACTAGCCCCTATGTCCAACTTCTTATACTATGTGCCACAAAACGTGATTCATTATTGAAACTTGCACAACCTGTTTAACATAGATTGAAAGCAATTTACGTCCATTATATCTGGAAATCGCGCCCACGAACCTCGGATATGAAGGATTCGACGATTACGTTCTTCTTGGTCTTGAACGCCGCGTGGCCAATGGGGTACTGGGTCTTGGATGATGTTTCTATGGTGTCATGCGTACCTGAGTGGCCTTGAAATATTCTGCGCGAAAAAGACAGTGCGGGCATGTAACATGTTTATTACGAAATAAAAAAATATGGGAGCCATTCAATGAGTTTTCAATTATTGCAGGTGCTGTACTTTAAATAGGTATGTACATGTGCTTACACTACTGAATAACCAGTTATGCCTCTCCACGCCTAACTAGTGACTACGAATACAACATCTTTGTTTTTTACAACCATCACATGCACTCGGGCAGATTTCCATAGTCTACATCACTGACACATGCTCACCTGATATTTTACTCCTTTTTCACCCATAGACCTATGCTTATAAAAGCCTCGGTTTGACCGATCGACTTAGGGGAGGAGTAGTATTTTAAAAGGAATTGTATTTGAACATATATAGATGACCTTAAGTCCTAGACTGTTGAGAACTTGTAGACTGGCAGAAGAGTAAATTTCGGGAGAAAAGTAGTTGAGGGCATGACTTTTCGGCGCTGGCCATCATCAGGTGGGTAAAGAGAGTAAAAGGAGTTAATCATGCACTAAGGATGTTTTCCCTCCTTTTCTCTTTCCTATCTTTATTAACGTGATAAGCCGAACGCCAAAAACGAATGTTTCCATCTACTCTTATCCTGATCTTTGCTCATCTACCAACCCACAAGTCTCCAAAGGCTTCCAGAGGGTCAATGTTGTTTAGGCTGAAGGTTATCTATCTATTCTTGCCTAGATTTATTATCGCCTTGCTATCTTCGCCGTGTGCCCCGAAATTAACTAGTGGAATTTATCAAACTGCTGTGTCCCTCAAGCAGTAACTGTCCCTTGGAATGATTCGTTTGGTATTATCCAGCATCACCTTCTTTGAAGCTCAGATAAGTTTATGAGAACTCTATCAGGTCATAGTTGCACCAATCAGTCCCCAGCGAACTTCTTCGGAAGAATGGATCGTGCCATTTATTGACGTTGGCTTTTAAAAACACTTGAAGTGCGTGATTCGAACCATAAAAACTGGTTCGTCGTCAATGAAGATTTGTCAAGAATATGCTCCGCCTTCTCAGCGACGTACTGGCTTATCTTTTCCTGGGGCAAAGACCACTCCTCAAACTGCGCAGATCCAGCTCCGTCATTGTTCTCTTTGTTGAAACCGCTCTAATCCGCTGAACTGAAGAGCTGACCTGGCTTTCGGGCACCGGCAAACAGTCGGTATTCTTTGATAATCTGATTCGACACTTTATGCAGAGGGTGATCCCCTCTCGAATCCTCGTTCATCTTCACCGTTTCACGCATTCCCACAGACGATCCGATGCCTGCCGTACGTTCACGAGGATGTGTCTCTTATGGCTGTCATGCGGTGTTTCAACAAAATATAAGAGCAATGGTGTAGTCAAACGTACATCCAAAAGAGGCCTCTACACATAGTTGTATTTCACTTTTTTGATCGCCCGCATGTCTACTTTGCGCGAGCCACTCCATGGAGTTCGTACGAAGGTGATCCCTTTATTTTGATCCGGCTTGTCCGGGCGGCCGGCCAACCTCAACCGGCCCAGGGTTTACAGAACGTGACCTTCGCGCGCGAGATAATAGCCTCTCCTGGTTCCTGATACTAGAAAATCGTCCGTCATACGCAATGGTGGTTGACAAATATTGAAACAATGGTGTGGTGTAAAAACGCATGGCCATGTACTTTTTATAACGGCACGTGAATGAAGTACACGACCATGTGTTTTTCACTGACTAGGGCTCTAGTGCACGGGCTCTGGTGTAGTTCAGAAGGATAAATGGCATTTGATTGCAGAATAAAAACGTTTTATTGATGTCACTGTGTTGGGTTAGTATGAATTGTGGTCTTTGGCTGCCATCTGCTTCATTTGGCATAGTAACCGTATTTGTAAAACAGCAGTTTTGGAACGCAATGCACGTACGTGCCTGGGTGTAACCATTGTGGGGAGGGAGAAATGTCACCTACAATGTTCCGAAAATGGCATTTTCCCCCGACCTTCGCCAGCAAAATGCACCTTTCGCATTTTTACATCTAGAGTAATGTCTCTTTAGTGGGTGTTCCTCCCTTCCCCCCCCCCCCCCCCCCTCCCCTCACGCCCACTTCATCCTGATTTGTCCACCAATCCCAGAGAAAGGGTTACGCCCATGTGCAAATATGCAGAACATTTGCCTTTTTTCATCGGGTGATATCACGCGCAAACGATGGAAATGTTATATGTCATGAGATTTCATATTCTTGACCTTAAGCTATGATAAGATTCATCCAAGTGCCAAAATCTGAGTTCCCAGTTCATAATGACTAAAAACTAGCAGCTCAATGCCTGTCTAATTTATATCAGGCATGAGTCGCAAAATTCCTTAGCGAAACGTCACCAATGTTTAATCACATTCGCTTATTTCGTACGGGTGGTCCATGAGCTATCCATGAATTTGGGCCAACGTACTCATCAAGACCTTTATGTGGATACGTGGCGGGGCTTTAAAGGAAAAAGTACCTTTGGTTTGTAAATGTATGGAATAGATTTGAGTTATTGTGCCTAGAATTCTTGTCAACATTGTTTCTACTATGGGTAGCTAGCGGTAGCTATGGCCAAAACTTTGTACATCTTATAAGCTCAGGGCTCAAGCGCCCGTCGACATGTGATGGAGTATATCAAAGGTCAAATTGCGCAACCATTTACTTTAATGCGGTGGCGTGAGGCTACCTGAGGTCAGTGCATGACCTCCTATGACATTTTCCGAATCATTTCGCACAAGCTATCGTCATGGTAAGAAGACAAAATTTACGCACTGTGAAAGGTTTGTAAAAACACTGCACGGTCCCGAAAACATGACCTAATACAACCTTGACGTTTAATGATGCTCATGCCAACAATGATGGTTGCTATTACTCGCGATATAACGGGATTTATAGGGCTTTGTCTTAGTTTCCTGGATTTTACTTGGCTTCGCCTAGGATACTATGAAGTGGTCGCAAGCATTGATCATCTGCATGATCAATGCACGAAGCACATGAATTCCATCATCTTGCAAACTTGCATTGGCCTTCAGCAAACCGGGCCGTAACTGCTGAGAGGATATATCACAGCAATTATTACGATGCATGATGGTGAGCGGTTGACGTTGTTTCCAATAATAGCTGAAAATATATTTTAATGATTGCTTGAAATATTCGTTTATCTTTTACGTCCTGGCATATTGACGGTTGGTTATTTTTAGCGCACACGTCACGATACCAAAAAAGAAGGTCGATATTTATTTTTTTATTGATATCAAATACAGCCAACTCACACCTTTAACATCATCCAACAAGAAAATTTGGTTTACAAAAGGGTAAACATGCGTCGTGGACCACCGAATTTTTCAATGCCAAGTCTCGCAAACGAAACAATTTACCAATGCCCTGACACGACAGATAGTTGAGATTAGCAAGCTGTCAAATGACTAAGACCGAACTTATTTACACTCTGCTGCAGCGACGTGCAGAGCGATTCGGGAGATCCGCCGAAGAAGAAACAGGGAGCTGCATGGCATGCAGGGAGCCCTTCCTCCCCCCCCCCCCTGTCATGCACCTGCGCCAGTCGAGACTTTTACGTTTCCATGTGTTGTGGTTAAAGCCGTCCGTGGTCACACCTAGCCGGTGAATTCCGCGTCCTTTACTAGTGTGAGCGCGCGTGCGAAGCTGCCGCTGCCCGGCAGGCCTCGGCAACGTGAAGCCGTCCGGCGAGTTCAACTTCGTCTGCGACCCGGAGGCGGCGAACATCGTGCTCGCGTCCGTGCGCCGACCCATCTTAATCGCCTCGTGGGAGGTCTGCCTCAACCACGGCCTCGACATGGTCAGTCATACCCGCACACGGCCTCGACATGGTCAGTCACGTCCGCACACGGCCCCGACATGGTCAGTTACGCCCGCACACGGCCTCGACATGGTCAGTCTCGTCCGCACACGGCCTCAACATGGTCAGTTACGCCCGCACACGGCCTCGACATGGTCAGTTACGTCCGCACACGGCCTCGACATGGTCAGTTACGCCCGCACACGGCCTCGACATGGTCAGTCACGTCCGCACACGGCCTCGACATGGTCAGTCACGTCCGCACACGGCCTCGACATGGTCAGTTACGCCCGCACACGGGCCGTGTGGCCTCGCTCGTAAGTGCATGAATGGCTGAACAATCGGCTGCGGGCTTCACGGTGCGTGTCAGGTGACCTTTTCCTTTGGACGCTCGCCTGCCTTCGACGCCCCACACAGGCCATGCTGCTAGATTTGCCGGTATCACGAATGATCACAGTGTAAGCCACGGCATGCATGAAAATGCAGATCGCATGCATAATGGCCTATGACATAGCGTTTCAGATAGCCACTTAGGAGTCGGATGCGTGCTGTTTGTGAAGGGTTCATGTGAAACCACCGATTAGCGCGATTTCTTCTCGACCGTGTTGCCATCACGTGCCGTTACTAATGGCAGCAATGGATTTCGCCCGTAGATACACTTTGCACCTTGTATAACACCTTGCCTTTGCACTTTGTACTTTGTATGACTGTATTTGAACCAAACATAGCAACTGTTGAAATCAAACAAAACCGAGACATGACATGGGTAGCACCGTTGTCAACCTCTGGCGCTTCGATGGCAGATCCAGTGCAACAACGCATGGAAAGCGATAATCCCGTGTGGACCGGGTGGAGCCGCCATTTAAATCGAGACTCGACGATGCCACCCGCTGTCATACTATCGAAGTCCTGGGGTGTGAAGATCGTTCAATGCGCCCGTGATATCTTGTCACACCTGGCTGCACACTTCTTCCGTCACAATCTAGCTGACGGGCGGCTGGAAGCCGTGCGAAAGTGTCTAGTCATCTCCGCCCCTCTTTTTGCCGCCATGATGACCGCCATGTCTCTTGCAACCATGACAACGACGGCGACCATTGTCATCATCATCATCATCGTCGTCGTCATCTCCGCCTCGTCTCTTTCCACCACGACGACGGTGGCCATTGTCATCATCATCATCGTCATCGTCGTCACCGCCTCGCCTCCTTTTGCCGTGATGCCGTCTGCCACCGTCATCATCATCATCATCATCATCATCGCCATCATCATCGCCATCATCATCACCACCGCCTCGACGTCCCGATCTGCAGCAAGTCTGAATGCATCCGTACTTGCTGCCCTTTCTGGGACAACGCGTGCAAGGATGCGTTTTGCCCCAACATGAAGATGACCCTGCAAAAAGAACGGAATGTGGATAAGACCAAACGTGTGTCGTCAACAGATGTGACCTTTGTAACGTTCAATCTAGATCCATAAAACTCGATATTAAGCAGTAGATAACACATAAATGTAGGTGTAGATATACCACCTTTTGTCACACCTACAGATCATGGCGAGGGTACCCATAGTGCAGTGGTTAAACAGCCTGCGAAACCAAGGGAGCAGGCTTCGAATCTCCGTGGTGCCCGCCCTTCCTGCTGGGGTGAGAGCCAGTCGGCCCCGTATAGCCTCAGCAGCTGACTGCGTCGCAAAGCCCCAATTGCACATAGACACCAGCCACAAGAAGAGCCGCCTTACCTTCGGCAGTTGCGGCCAGCGCTGCAACGACAAGCGCACAGACGACAAGCGCAAAGACGAAACGCATCGTGCCTGCCCGACGTTCAACGGTGCGGTGCCTTCGTCAGCACGGGCAACGCCTCTGAAATGTCTCGTCTTTTATACTGCCCTGAGGAAAAGGTCAGGAGCGTGACAGCTGTCGCACCGCGGCTGGCTGACGTGTATGCAGCCGACAGCAGTGGAGCCTTCATGTTGAACAGAAATCAGCCAACCTCGACTACGCTCAAACGTAGTGCGCTGCCACGCAATAGCTCAGCGACCTGCCAGCTACATGCATTGGTTCCCCAATGATCGCTAGGGCCCGACCCATGGTCGCCGCGTCACTGCGCCGCGTCAGGCGGTGGCGCTTTTGTGAAAATCGGTGGGATAAGACGGTTTTGTCGTAATGGCGCGAGGCAGGCCCGTTGTTTTTGTTACCATTTTCTGCATGTCAGCTATTTTTGACGCGAAGCTGCCGATATTTCAAGAGAATGTTCCACATTTGAAGATATTAAAGCAAGCATCAGATATGATGAAGTGAGCTTACTTACACGTTCAAGTGGAAATGGCTGCTCCAGACGACATAGCATCTCTGCTTAGTAAACATACTCCTTAATGCATGATTGTTTGGTTACATCATCGTAACTTGTACAACATTGATTTAAAGCTAATTGACGGCCGTTATATTTGAAAGTTGTGTTCACGAACGCCAGACACGACTCAGCAATCATACTTTATCGGCCTCGATCGTTGCTTGGCCAGTGGAATAACAGAATTTTAATGACATTATTATGGCATCATGGGTGTCTGGGTGACCTTGAAATAGTCTCCCCGAAAAAGTTTGCACATTTTCGCGGACACGTAGCTCAGAAACTAGAGGGGTTTGGGTCTCAAGAAGGGCAGGACATGCACCGAATAATCTTCAAGATGGCTCTGTCTGTTCTAAACCCCATGCAAATATGAAATGCAAATGTGAAACACTTCCTTCAACATGAGCTGTAATGAAGATACCTTTTCTGGCGTGATGCCGATATGTGCATGCTTAAAAAAGGATCTCGTCCAAATCTTGTCATTAGATGGATCTAACCAGTGTCTGCGCTAAACAGTGTTTGTTGTATGAGCCCCAGCTCCACCACCCGATCGCAAAATATCGGGCCAACTGCTGCAATGCTCAGCACTCCAATGCCCAGCGCGGTCCGTGCTGCCCTCTCACGTCACCTGACCTTTAACACAACCGCGGACACCGACCGGAGGCCATCCCAGTTGGCTATTTGAGCTACAGTCCTTTTGACCAGAAATGATCATTTCAGGGCTATGAGATAAAGGAGGATGGATAACGGTGGGGCAGGACTGCATGCGCCTGGGGGGGGGGGGAGGGGGGGGGGGGTCAAATCGCTTAGCCGTGGCCCTCGCAGGGACCCGTCTGCGGGGGTGCGCTCGGCGCCCGATTGCGGTCTCCCTCCCGGGGCCTCTCGGCTCGCTCATGGCTGACGCATGCAGCCTGCCCGAACATGTAGGGCGTCGCTAGGAAGAAGGATGAAGCGAAGATAGAATAAGGGGGTCCGATGTCCATCCCAGTCCAAAAGAGAGCGCCTAGACTGTGCTTCACATTTGCATAGGGTTTTCAACTGAAATAGACATACTGAAGATCATTCGGTGCAATTCAAAGCTCTGCCCTTCCTAAGACCTAAAACCCTTTAGTTTCTGAGCTATACATCCGCGAAGATGGGCATACTGTCTCGTGCAGGCTATTTTAAGGTTACTCAGATGGCCGTGACGCCATAATAACGCCATTAAAATTCTGCTATTGCATTGGCCGTGTGGCGATCAAGCCAAGAAAAATATGATTCATGAGTCGTTCATATGTGGCGTTCGTGAGCGTGATTTTTCTATACGACGCCGCCAATTGGCTCTCAATCAATAATATGTAAGATGCACTGACGAAATCAAACAATGACGCATTGAGGAGCATGTTTATGTAACAGAGAAATTGTGTTGTATAGAGCAGTCTTTTCCACTTAAAAGTATACCATTAGTTCCAAATGAGTTTACTTCATCACCCCTGGTGACTGTTTTAATATCTCTAAATGTGGAACATTTCCAGGTGCGTTTGTTAGTCCCTAGTTTCTCCCATTGAATAAACCGCCTGTTTCTCAGCCAGCAGATGTCACTTTTGTAGAGGAGCTTGCCCACATCAGTGATCACTCAGCTACCCTCTGAAAAGGCATTCACCTACTCGCCCGGTCGACCTAGGGCGTACACCTAATTCCCCTGTTAAAGGGAATGTTTCACATTAAAGGCTATTGAAACGAACACCAGATATGATGAAACAAGCTCACATTGAAAGATTGATATGCTTGTTAAGTGGAAAAGAGTGCCCCAGACCACACAATTCCCTGTTTAGCAAGTATGCTCCTCAATGTGGCGTGGTTTAATGACGTCATCGTACCTTACATAACATCAATTGAGAGCCAATTGACGGCTGTTATATCTGGAAAGTGCGCTCACGAACGCCAGATACGAACGCCTTCATAGTTACATTCTTCTTGGCCTTGATTATAGCATGGCTTATGGGTTGGTAGAATTTGAATAAAGTTAGTATGGCGTCATGAATGCCAAGGTGACTTTGGAATACGTTCCCCGATATGCCTTTCACCATCTACGCGGCGTATAGCACAGAAACTAGAGGGGCTTAGGTCTTAAGAAGGGCAGAATTGTGGACAACACCGCAAGTTCTTCAAAATGGGTATTTTGGTTCAAAACCCCATGTAAATGTGGGACGCTCCTTTTAAGGGTGCGTGGACTCACCCTTCCCGGTCGCACCCGGCGTCATATTTCTGAGGAGTTCTTGGCGTAAGTGGGGATGCTGCTGAAATCTCTTGGATGTTTCGTGAACTACAAAAATGAATTGAAAAAGATTTAGCTAACAACCACCCAATTCAGTGTGATTGTAGTTGCTGCTTGGCAGACATGGCATGAAGAATGGGTTTTTGAATGTGTATGATGGCTACCTGTTCAAATTTGATGTTCAGCAACGTATTTTATGATAAGGAATAACATTGTTGCAGTTCGTAGCATTGCCATTGAACAACAAGTACAGAGGCCGTAACGAGGTAAGGAGTCAACAAAATTGTTCAACCGCCCACACTAAGTTAGAATGTTGGTGATATGCAACAGAAAATTGAATTAAATATATTTGATGACAATAGTGTAGTTCTATACCCGGTGAAAGTTTGGTCAAGAGCTGGTGGCTGTGTTTGGACTTGTTCAGACTTGTATATTTTCCATTGGCTTTACATTAGCAACAATCCCGACTTGAACCCACATTGCCACGAGTGACGGAGTGACAACGCAGGCGCCAACTTAGCTATCGGGGCAGACAAATTCCGCCATCGATTTAGACGTCAGTGTCTGGATACCATCAAGTGCTTGATTCAAAGCATTCACGTCATCGCACTGTGGTATGTTCTATTGCATAAGCTTTCATTATGTTGAAGTAAAGCTCCTTTGACCGCGCGCAACGCATGGCTCGTGTCTTATCGACAGTTACTTCGAGACACCCCGGCATTGAAGAGACCTTGCAGTATGTCCAGCAATGATAAACAATGTAACGGTTCAACGACATGTCAGTCGTATTACGATGCAGGAGATATATCTGTCTTGGCACACGACGGCGCGCACTGGCACGATACAAAACAGACCGCGCACGGCACAACCATGGCGGCGAAGACACAACTGCCCCCAGGTCTGGCACTTGTGTCACCCTCGACGGGCCGCATCGGGACGAATAGACCACGGACACAACTGCTCCCAGATCTTGCGACACGTTGTCACGCTTCAGTGCCCCGTAATATGATGAAGGAAACCCATTTTATGTATCGATTCCAATAAGGTGTCAAAACCTCAAATGACGCGCAACCCAGCCAGGCTACAGTTGATGTCAGGAATGTCATGCACAGGCCATGTTGATAACGATCTGTATACCAACCGAAGAGTACCAGCATGCCCCATACAGCAGTGGTATCCTTATGCACGACCTGTTGTTCACCTGGTATTGATATATACATAATGTAAAGACAAGTGTGTCCTGATTTCATCCGCTCATAACATAAAAGTGGCAAGTCACGATAACAAATATATTCACGCAGAAATTCACCGAACCATGGATATTTGTATCATGTATCTTAAACACCTCGTCATCACTTAGAGAACTCTTTAGAGCAAGAATTCCAGGTGAGCCCCCCCCCCCCCTCCCCTCTCGTAGGAGGCAGATGTCTGTGCGCCTTGCCAGCTCACCGACAGCCTTTGCGCTCTTGTTAGCTGTGATTGTGCCTGCCTGCTGGCTGGTACCCTTTTTAGATCACCGTGGCTCTGAGGGCTCTTCCTGTGGACCCGGCATTTCGGTAACCACCATATAATATAGAGGTAACCACCACATAACCACCATATAATATATAATATGAAGGGATCAGACCCAGAGGGTGAGCCGACCATGGGTTGCCAGTCCTGCAGCTGATGATGCGGGCTGCAAAAATGTCCCTCAGCCATGTCAAGCCTGCCTTCGGCCTGTGGGGATTCCCCACCACGCTGGCACCTCATGTTCTCCACTTTACCCGGATCCCCAGCTGTCTCCAGAAGCGCTCCAGCATGTCGATTGGCCGTGGCCGTGTGGCCGTCTGGACACTGGAAGAGAGGAGCGCAATGTGGCCGCTCGAACTCATGGAGCATCAGGCCGTGTGGCCGTCTGGACACTGGAAGAGAGGAGCGCAATGGGGCCGCTCGAACTCATGGAGCATCAGGCCGTGTGGCCGTCTGGACACTGGAAGAGAGGAGCGCAATGGGGCCGCTCGAACTCATGGAGCATCAGGCCGTGTGGCTGTCTGGACACTGGAAGAAAGGAGCGTAATGGGGCCGCTCGAACTCATGGAGCATCAGGCCGTGTGGCCGTCTGGACATTGGAAGAGAGGAGCGCAATGGGGCCGCTCGAACTCATGGAGCATCAGGCCGTGTGGCCGTCTGGACATTGGAAGAGAGGAGCGCAATCGGGCCTCTCGAACTCATGGAGCATCACGCTGTTACCTTCGGGCTGTGCAGCGGGCTCTCCAGCAGCTCTGTCTGCCAGCTCCGAGGCCCAAAGCCGGCAGTTTTGTGTATTAACTGCCTCCTTCAGGTGAAGGTGATATCGTCGCTGAACTGGATGTGGTTACAAAAGGATTAGCTTCTTCCTCGGTCTTCAGTCAGCTGCCAAATGTCATCCGCTGTTCATTAGTGGCTTCTGTCAGCTTCTACTGGGTAGTCGCCTTGAAGGGAAATGCTAGTTTTTGGTTGTGTGACTGGTGTCAACTTCCTGAGCGATCTTCAAGATGACTTTTGATGGGTTGGTCATGCCTGACTTGACTTGCTCAACCCTATCTCCCTTTTTTGCGTTTGCTTCCGAGATAATTTTAGCGGCATCTTCTCAAGGTATCTTCATTGCATTTCTACCCCAGTACAGACCTGACTTTCATAATTTTTCTTGCAGGCGCAGACGTAGTTTTGTGCAGGTGGTGCTTTTGCGATCTTGGATCTCGCTGACCAATGTAACTCGGCATCTTCTGCTTTTTGCCCCGCGCTGAGCGGCGCATGATGCTAAGCGTGCCTGGGCCACATAAAAAGCTCCATGGCACGTGTTATCTAGGGCCTTGGCGTTATCCAACAAAATGAAAATGCACGTGCTTATGCGGTTTTAGTTTCCATCATGTGCATATAAAATCGGACATGTACTTTCCACCCGGATGTATAAAAATAGCTCTTTTTTATCTAGTCCTGTATTTCCCTAGGGGATTGGCATAAAACGGAAAGTCGTATGGGCCCTCGGATCCAGAAAGTCACGATCTCTTATATGTATATTTTGGGGGGTATTAGAGGTGCTCCGCATGTAAGATATGTGGTTCTCTGGGATTGGCTGGCCATGGCTTTACCACTATAGTGTAAAGCCTAAAGATAACCAATGCATCGATACACAATATGGGGCAGAGTAAAAATTGACCAGAAAGGCTGATTATGCGCTATGCTTTCGAACTACCAGCCTTCAGTGTGGGGAAGGGTAGGGTGTCATTGATATAAGAGTTTTAGATAGCATTATGCATGTGAAAATACGCCTTCTCGGTAGGCATTAGTGGATAATTTGTATAGGCTCACAAGGGTCTTGTCATCCTGATCGCAACCTTCAAGGCTCCACGAGAACAAGGTGGAATTGAACACTAGCTCCTGTGTACTCTCCAGCTCATATGTTTGAGAAAATATTTCACTACCAACTGGTGTCGCCCGTAAGTCTTCCAGTGTTATGCTCGAGCCTTTTCACATAATCTCTTCTGGTCAACATTTCAGGTCAGTTGAACCAATGCAAGTCGCTAGCCCGAAATCTGCGTGCGGCTTCTGGTGCTTCCAATGAGCGATGCTGGCGAGGTCATATGGTGTCTTTCGACGTTCAAGCTCTGTCTATCGTTCCTCTAACCTGGTAGTCGACCCCATGTAAGCTCTACGGCGTCACCGGCAGCGCTGGAGGAAGGCCTGACCACCCGTGACCGGCAGGCGTGGAGGAAAACGGTGCTGGGCGCCGTCGACTCACCCGCGGCCCGCTTCTTCGAAGCCGCTGAGCGCGCCGTGCTTGAGGACCGCACCTTCGGCGACTGGATCACGTGCGACCAAGCAGCCGCCGCCATGCTAATCCGGCCCGAGATCGTGCTCAAACAGTCGACGCACCACGTGAGTTGGCAGCAGCCCAGACAGGGACTCTACGGAGAGAGAGGCTGGGGACAAGGCAGACGTTTTTGTAGACTCGTGTCGCAGTTAATGCGTTGTCGGAAGGGAAGCCCAGATCTACGCACCGCAACGGCGTGCGCAAAGGAACGCCACGGAATCAGACACCTTCGAACGCGGTGGGTGATAGGGTGAAGGAAACGCTTCAGATATACCTAATCGAAAGAATCGGCGGAGTTCATGTCGCGTTGTTCCCATCTATATTCTGGAATACACCGCACATCACCAGCAACGCATTCCAGCGGATATATTTTTTAGCATTATCCCGCATTTAAATGACTGTGCCGCAGCCACGCATCAGGGATGACATCACATGACGGCAATCACGCTGCGGAGAGGAGTGGCAGGATGTGTTCTGCACAGGCTGCAGCTGATCTAAATTGCACACACTGCCGGTGAAATACCGCACATGAGCAGATGACACATGCTGAGCGCAGGTCATTACACGCACCATACACTACCCCCGACGCCACGCCTGCCATTGATCTGTACGCGGCGACTTCAAAATTTTGGGAGGGTAGGTTGAGCACAACTCAAAGTGTTTCCCGACAAAGGTTCTTAACCGTTCCTAAACCGTGGTCAAAAACCGTGGGCCAAAAGGCGCTTTAATCGTTCTTCGTAATGTTTCCTCCGTATGCTGTGCGGGCGATGCCAGAACGCGGCGATGCTGCGTTGCCCATTAATGGGCTCTTAGGTGGAGTACGTTTTTTATGACATGAGTCGGTCCGTGCAGCCAGCCAGAGCATACGTAGAAGCGTCCCTCACCGGGTGATCTCATTGGTAACTGAGCTTGCACCATGCCCGCGCCAAGCCTGGCCGTTAGCGCACCCCCCCCCCCCCCTTCCCAGATGGAAGGCGTCCCGTCCTGCGTAGTCATGTGATCTCCGGTGAAAATACCTCGAAGGCTTCATTCTGAACCTTCAGACGGTGTTTTTCTCAACCCTGATTCGGCCTTTTCTCAAGGAAGGGATGATCAAACTCGGCTGCTATGTGTTCGGATGAACGATTGACTTTGATACGCTGGGTTGGATATAAGCAAGTTGTAGAGCAACGGTTCCCATCTTAAGCCCTAGCCGCAGATTCCCAAGATGTGACACGTCACCGCTTGCCACGCTTCCCATAGACTATACGCACGCTACTCAGGTGAAAGAGGAATTCTAGAAAGAGTACTAGGGTTAGTGAGAACGAAGCCGAGCGGCGTTAGCCATTGCAAGCAACACCAGGCGACTGGGGTTGTGCGGGCGAGAACGACCGTCATGAAAAATGGTTTCAAGTGTCTTTCAAAAGGAATTCGCACCTTTCAAAAGGAATTCGCACCCTTCAAAAATTAGACTGGGTGTATCATTTTCACAACTTTTAGGCTGTCATCTGGATGGATAAACAGTTCACGAAACACGAAAGTAAAGATTTTACGTTTAGTCTTCCTGTACCACCAGAGTACAGCAACATTTCACAGGGCTGTCAAGACCAATCCGTTTTTATCAATCTAAAAAACGTACCTGTGAAATATACTCCTAGACTATCTTTGAAATAAACGTTTTGATATCCTGGATAGTTCAAGAGACACTTTTCAGATGCGGCATACTTTTCGTCCATCCGTTGGCCACGGCTTAGTACCAGCCGTGGGGCCGACGCTGCGCGACCTATGGAGAGTGTGATGTTTGGCGTCGAGGTCTTTGCTGCTAAAATGTGCGAGCGCGCATGTTTAAAACTACGTAACATAATTTGCGTCAATAATCAAGTCTGACTGAATGCTGATCTTTTAAAAAAAAAACATGGGCTGGACATGTTAATACAAATGGCTCACTCATTTTGATCTACCTACAATCAATAATGGCGGGATCTCTAATATATCTGAAGAACACGGGTACGAATTTTGACGAAGCTTGTGAGCTCTGTCGGCTTGGAGAGAGTCCACTGGACCATTTGAAAAATGGAGAGCTCCGGCGATTTCCTCCATTCAGTCGTTTAACGAGCGATTCCTTCGGTTTAATAACTACAAAATTCGGGCAGAGTTTTTTTCGCGGTAGCTTTAGGCTTCCATTCCAATTACAGAGGGAACAAGTCTAAAAAATATGTTTATAAAAGAAATGCACGCTCGCATTTGAACAGTGGGCTACGTCTCACGTTTTTTTAGGGGGGATTTTCACTAGCAGGGGCCTTTTCAACCCTGTCCCCTTCACCCTTCTTTGCCAAAGCTCTGGTTGCGCGCCTGCTGCGGCGTACCACACATTATAGCTTTATGCTCCGTTACATCACATGCCGTGTAATCATCACACTTGTAGTACAACATCGAGCAGGCAAGACGTCCCAGAGCCCGAAACCGTTCCAGGAGCCACTGATGAGCTACCAAACACAGAGCGTTCCTCTCGCGGAGCAGGAGAACTTTGCCGTTTGAAGGGGGGGGGGGGGGAATGTCGTTGAACTAGCGGTAATAAACATACTGTCAGGAATGATCACGGGACGGGGGCCAACGCCAATCGCACTTTGCGCTCGTCGAACTGTCAGCTCATGGCAGCAGAGGTGACAGCATGTGACATTTGTAACGGTATGGCCTCTTGCCCTTTTGTCACTACGCCGCTAACGTGCAGAAATAAAGACCTTTGACGTGACTCATGCATTATCCTGTAGCGCCGCGAAAATCGTATTGCCTGTTATATCACATCCAGTGAGGCCGATGCATCTGTGAAGGTGTATCGCGTGGCATGTTTTGTGGTTTCTAACAATATCACGAGACCTTTAGAAACTTTTATAAGCGTGGCCACACTGGTTCGCATCGGGCTAATGTCACGGTATGAAACCGAGTTTGTGAGCTCAGCGTAGACAGGCAAAGTGTCTGCACATTATTCGAAGTCGTTGATCGACTATGAAGGGCTTGTGTGTCCGTCGTTTGTCACTGTGCTTCACGGAAAGGAACGGAAGGCGGTCACGGAAGGCTTGTCCGTCGTTTTGTCACTGTGCTACGGCGGTCACGGAAGGCTTGTCCGTCGTTTGTCACTGTGCTACGGCGGTCACGGAAGGCTTGTCCGTCGTAGCACAGTGGCAAGCGGAGTAGTTGTCCGTACGTAGCGCGGACAACTACTCCGCTTGATGAAGTAGTTTTCCGCGCTATTGACCTCGTTTTAAGCCGGACGAGCATACGATAGTCAGGCAGATGATTCCATCCCTAATACTGATACCTGGCTTCGTCTACTTCTATAACGAGCATACTCTCCCCTCTCTCTCTCAGTATACTCAGACGAGCATACGATAGTCAGATGATTCCGTCCCTAATACTGATACTTGGCCTCGTCTACTTCTATAACAAGCATACTCTCTCTCAGTATACTCAGACGAGCATACGATAGTCAGGCAGATGATCCCATCCCTAATACTGATACCTGGTCTCGTCTACTTCTCTAACGCGCATGCTCTCTCTCAGTATACTCAGACGAGCATACGATAGTCAGGCAGATGATCCCATCCCTAATACTGATACCTGGACTCGTCTACTTCTATAACAAGCATACTCTCTCTCAGTATACTCAGACGAGCATACGATAGTCAGGCAGATGATCCCAATCCTAATACTGATACCTGGTCTCGTCTACTTCTCTAAACGCGACATGCTCTCTCTCAGTATACTCAGACGAGCATACGATAGTCAGGCAGATGATCCCATCCTAATACTGATACCTGGACTCGTCTACTTCTATAAACAAGCATACTCTCTCTCAGTATACTCAGACGAGCATACGATAGTCAGGCAGATGATCCCATCCCTAATACTGATACTGGACTCGTCTACTTCTATACAAAGCATACTCTCTCTCAGTATACTCAGACGAGCTACGATAGTCAGGCAGATGATTCCATTCCTAATACTGATACCTGGACTCGTCTACTTCTCTAAACTGCCACGGTGCCGGGCACAATGACATGTGAGTTTCTGGACAGACTTAGACGGGTTGCCACGTCTCCAGGTCTTACTTTGAGTCATCATTGCGTGGCATGCCGCCATCGTAATGTATTGTATTGCTCTTTATCAAGTCGTTCCCGCATATTAGGCCTTTCTTAGACCTTCGTTAACAGGTACATCGACAGTCACAGGGCGACAAGCGTAAACGACACGAGGAGACATACACGAGGTTAAAAATGGCAGTTGCTTTGAATAGTGTCATGGAAACAGGACTTAAAAGAAGAAGATAAGCCCGCGATGTCATTGGTGATGACACGCTAGTTGTAGATAGGCGCAGCTTGGTAGGCATTTGCTCGCTTTCCAAGTTTGTTCTTTGGGGCGAGAAAGAGATACATGACTAGATTGGCGCGTACTGGGTTCGGTCTTTTTCTGGTTGTAGGATAGCTGAGAACGTAAAATCTATGGCTCCCCGTTTGTCAATACTTTGTGTACGAGGCATATATCGAAGAAGTCGTAAACGTTTGGCCACTAAGCCAGTCAAACCATCGTGGAACATCCGACACACGGTCAAATCTATGTCGCCCGGGGACACCCTGGCTGCGAAGTTAAAGACTTCTTCTGCAATTCTCACAACAGCTGTGCAGTTCCCGCCCCCATGAAACTTGAGGCGGGTACGCACATGGGAGAGAACACGAGCGGGTCAAGACGCGTAGCATGAAACAATTGGCAGATAACAGGTGGCAGGCAAGGTTTTGTCATGCCGAACGGCAGACTGTTTCAGATGTGGCCCGGTGAGTGTGAATCATGTACTCACGTATCCAGTTTACTAAGTCAGTTTGTGAGAAGCAGTGCGAGCCATGTGAGCCATGCGCTTTTCCCCCCCGACGGGTTACCTTTGGAGTCCAGTTGAGTACGAGTGCATGTAGTCTTTGTCGTCTGGTTACACCACTTTTAAGGTTATGGTTGCGTACCTGGTCTTCTAAGCTGTGTGCGAGGGTCGAGCAGTCATCTACGTGGGTGACATTGTGTACACATCTATGCAAACAGCAGGCGGCTGGACTGCTTGTGAATGTATTGCTCTTTACCGCACGGCCGTCGAGCAGGTCACGCAGCTGCCACCGTTGAGGGAGAAAAAGTGCGTTGCCGTCTGGTAGGGGGACGCTGGAGGTGTTGCTGTGATCGTAGACTGTGCATTGCCGCGACCACCGCTTCAGTGACCTCAGGTCGCAGGTGACTGCTTACATCTGCGCCGCAGGCCACGGTGGAGCTGCATGGGAAGCTCACTCGCGGCCTGATGGTGGTGGACCGGCGCAGCTGGAGCGAGCCCACAGCTCTTGGCAGGAACGTCACTGTGATCGAGGCTCTCGACCTCGAGCTCTACAAGAAGATGCTGCTCGACGCGTTCGGCCATCCGGGGGTCGTGTTCTGAGGCCGCGCCGCCGCCGCCGCGCCGCCGCCGCTACCAGTGGTCAACGTTTGACCATGGCGGATAGGATAAGCATGCCACCATTAAGGTCAATAGTCCGGTGTCCTCCAGGTGGTAAAACGTGCATACTACGGTGTCGCCAAATATATCAAAAATGCCACGCCGAAGAAACGCGGGGACACTTATGAGAACAAATAAAATTCCGCATATTCCCCCTTTGTAGCGAGCTGGAGTCAACCCACAGTGGTCGAAGCTGCATTGCTGCCCATGTTAACGATCCGCAGCGGTCAAGTTAAGCCTTGTGTTCGGCAAAAGACGCTTAGGTGACGCTTGTGATCGTTATCGCACATTCGTTGGCATGTTGGGGAGATAATGCGTGAAATGAAACTAGTGCATCTCAATATATTCTGATTATTCAGTACGTAGAACTGGCACTCTGACAATATACGGTGTTTTATTATTGACTATAAACAAACATTTGGATGAACTTATATTTTGGAATGTAATGTATTTAATAACATGGAAGCGGTTTTGTGAGGTTGATTCAACATAGCATCCAAAGACCAACAGGAAATGAGATTAAACTGACGCACAGTGTGCACATGCCACAGTTATACGTCATCAGAACGACAGCCGAACATCATGCTCTGCCACCATCAATCGCATGAATTTCACGGTGCTTCGATCGAGCGCAAATGAAGCCGTACCAGTTCTCCTCCCTGTTTACGGAAGCAGAGGCCTCCGTCACCACCCTCACCGAGCTGTCTCCAGCTTGTGTGAGAACGGGATGCGGTCTCATCTCAGCGGCTGGTGGGGCTACGCGCTGATAGCCTCCTTCGACACGCTCCTGTTCAGCAGCACCTCCGCGATCTCTTCTCGCGCAAGGTGATCACCTCTCGTCGTAGCGAGCAGGCTTGGAAGTTGACTTGCAGCAAAGCCGGGAGCTTGACGGGCTTCCTCTGATCTCTCTCTCACGTGCCTTTCGATTGTCAACATGTGTGTGAGCCAGCTCGTTCACGAAATGTCCGAATATGGCTCGCTCTGCAGCAATACGGCGCGCTGTCGTTCTCGAATATGGCTCGCTG